AAAGGTAGTTCTATAGTATCTATCTATCTAACATACATATAGGTATGTTAGATAGATAGATATATAAAGTAGATGTAATACAAATAAGTTAATATTGTTTAATGATATCGAAGCCTGTAGTGTACATATTATGTATATTTTTGGCGGACAGTATGTATAAGTTGCCATTATTAAGTTTTCTGCTGATTATTATACTGCTTTTTTGTATACCAAATAAAAAAAAATAATAAAAAAATAAATACATAATATAATACAACATTTCACTCAATACAAAAATTGAACTATAAAGACAATAGAAGAATATTAAAACAAGGATGTGAGAATGAATATTTCTATTAATTATAAAAAGCTATTTTAACGGAGGTTTTGTAGGCCGCATGGAAACAAGAAAACATCTAAATAGATTATAAAGCTATACACATATCACCAATAAAAATGTTTCTAAGATTAGAAGAAGGTCACTAGGTCAGTAAAAGCCTGTTTACACTGTTTACAATTACTCGTATGTGGAAAACACACGCACGTTATTTAAAGGAAACACTGATTTTGCAAAAAAACTATGTGGCAAGTTAAATCTCTTCGTTCGAACTCGGGGAATGTCGACGACTTGACGACGTCGAATTGAGGCCAGCTGAGAGTCACACGAGGGCGGAGGGGGCACCAGGGTGACTTATACAATTTCTTCACACGTTCTCTGGATTATTTTGCTTTAATTTTGTTATTAAGTTATTTTATTATCAAGATGGCGTATTTGATTCTTAAGTGCCCGCCATCCATGGACATTTGCAACACCCGTAGGGTTGCAGATGCGTTGCCGTTTTTAATAAAGTGGGCCCCGGCTACCTCACTCACCAGACGAAACGCAGAAGTATAACACTTCCACTCCACGCCGGTCTTCTGTGAGGTCGTGGTACTTACTCTGACAGACCTGCCCATGACATTCGTGCAATTGTTGTATAGCTCTACCACCGTTAAAGTAGGAACAAAGCAGTTGATTTTTATTAATGAACAAAGATCATTAATAAAAATCAACTGAACGGAAAAATAATAAAAAATAATTTTTCCTTCTTGGATTAATGGCCTCTCTTAAAAGATTAAATAAGTTTATTTTGTATGTTTAATGAAGAGCTTTTGGAAATGTGAACATGTAGCGAAGATATCAATGTAAAAAATTTACTATCAGAACTATTCAGGCTATAAAGATATACTCGTCACATTATACAGGGCACTTTAAATAGAACTCGTTTTATAACAGGACACCTAAAATAGGGCAATCAGCGCAACGTTCGCAGCCTTGAACTTGTTAGGACACTTTAAAATAGGGCAATCAGCGCAAGGTTATTTTCGATAAATCGGTAAAAACCCAGACACGAACTCCCGCCGTTTTCCCGCCAATTTTTGACATTTCTGCGTGATCTTCACCCGGCCCACCCTCGGGCGGGTCGTGGCGAGCAATTAGATGCAGCCTCGATTTATTACGCAAACCCGCGTCGGAGGGTACGTGTGAACGTAACTTTTATTGTTGCGTTCACGGAATGTCGTGACAGGTATCCCGCATCATCGTTTTGGCGCCAAATTGCTACTAATTCGGCGGGGGTATCGTTAATGTTGATGCTTCTAACTGTGATGAGCGTTTTTATGTTTGTTTCCAGTACTTCTTTTTCTTTCGTCTCGACTGATGTATCAATCGTGGGAAATCTCTCATGGGATTTGACGTAATCATGGCATGGTTTAATGAATATACGTAATTTGATTACTTAATGCTTATTATGTAGTTTTAACATTTGTGAGATAAATGTTTATTTTCTTGATACATAAGATATGTTAATAGATATTGTTGTTGGTTTGGTTGAAGAAAATTAAATGTACAAAAATAATGTGTACTAGGTATTTGGTTTAATTTTTATTTACTTATTTTATTTTATATTTTAATACAATAAAGGTTATAGCCTCAGTATCTATGTATTACTACAAACCTTCGATGCACTGGCGCTATTTTTCCTAGATACAGATTTTTTGTCCCTATTAATTTTTATTTTACACTGTAGTCATGATACAGTTTAAGCTAGTAAGTCTGCTGACGTTAACCTTGAATAAATTTGTTAGTTTTGATATAAAATCAGTGAAGTAAATAAACAAACAAAAGTGAATCATTAAAAATTATTACTTTATTCGTACAGATTTTAATAAATTAGAAAAGATTAATTTATGTTAATAGTCCATAACATATTTCTATTCACCCCCATAGCTTAAAGCTAATTATGACTTAAAAGTCTTTTGCTACCTCGACTGACACTATGGATGCAGCAAAGAGTTCTAAACGTTAGAAATTTTAAAACAAATCAAACGCGATAAAATCGATTTATAATTTAATAATTGTTAAAATACAATTATTAAATTATATTCATAATTCATCATAAAAAGCGTCATTGCAATAACAAGGATAACTTTCGCTAACGCAACAATTGTCTGTTAACGGAAACCCGCCGACTGAAACGTAACAGTTGCTAACCTGAGGGGAAAATACCGTAGCACTTGTTGAATGTGTGGCTTCGGTATTACAAAAAAAAACCTAGAAAAACAGTGTCTACAGCTATTAACTATGAACCTTTTCGAACGTGCTGCTATTATCTATGATAGATTATTTAAAAATAAATCGAAGTCACTGGATCGGGAGAGTGGCATACTCCTGCCACTCTCCCGATCCAATGGCAGGGGATCCATAAAGGATTTTTCTCATGGAAAAAAAGGCAATGAAACCGCAACTCTTCAAGGTGTTGTAGAGGTCCATAGAGGGCGGCAATACTCCATCAACATTAGGTGAACCGCTTGCTCGCTTGTACACTCGTTACATAAAAAAAATAGAAATGTTAGCGGGTTTATTGGTATGCCCTTTACGCACGCAGCAAAGTAGCTACCGATTTGATTTTTTGCATCGAATAGTTTGTAGGAGAGTGACTACTAATTATCTTGCAAGCGGAGGAAGCGCAGGGAATAACTATTGTTTCAATAACAGTGCTATTATTTTTCAATGCAGAGAAAACAGTCGGATCGTTGCTTTAGTCACGAACGATATCAAAACGCGTTCATTCGATTCATAGAAAAGTTTTGTAAGCAATAGGCATGTTCTCATGTTAACTAATTAAACCATTTAAAAAAAGTACAAGTCTTGTATTTTATTGTGTGTAAATTGCACATTATTTCATGTAAGTTTTATTTTAATTAAGGAAAGAAAAAGAACATGTTAATTGTAACATATATAAAAATGTGTAAACTATTGCTAGTAAAAGTAAAAAAGTAAAGTATCAGGCTGTACTGCCATGTCCCACTGCTGGGCAAAGGCCTTCTCTGTACGGAGGGTATCAAGACATAGTCCACCACTGCAGATTGACGAAGTCCGTCATATAACTTTTTTTGTTATTATTTCTAAAATATGCAGGCTTTCTCACGTTGTTTTTTAGCAGTTAAAATAAATAATTTCATTGGTGCTGGCACCGGGGATTGAACTCAGGTTGCTTGACTATACTGAAAGCGAGACCCCAAACACTCGGCTATCAAGGCTCCATGCAACGCTACTTTTGAACTTTCGTTTTTGCGTTCAAAGAACAAATGTAACATAAGAAAGCGACGCTACTCGTACATGTTTGTGTGTACGCGTGGAATTATTTCGCAGAAAGGCGGTCTCATTGTTCCAAGTCCTATTGTGTGTTCCCCTTTATATCTTTGGCCGGTCAGCACAAAGACTTTATAGCGAAATGATTCGCGGCGAACTCTTGTGTATTCGAATTCGATTATGCTGGAAACCGCGTCACAGATTTGCTGTTTGCTCGATTTATACGAAAACAGGCTTAAATTGATTTATTTTACATATGCTCGTAGGCTCGTCCGGGTAAGTACCACGACCTCACAGAAGACCGGCGTCAAGTGGAAGTATAATACTTTCGCGTTTCGTCTGGTGAGTGAGGTAGCCGGAGCCCAATTTTCAAGAGGTTGTCAACGCACCTGCACCCCTCGGGTGTAGCAGATGTCCATGGACGCGGTATTCACTTAACATCAGGTGAACCGCCTGCTCACTTGGCAACTTATCACTTAAAAAATAAAATGTACGTACCATCGTCAAGAAGAAACCGTAATCAAATATCTCTATTAGGGAGTATAAATACGATGAATTATTTAATTTAATGCTCAATCTTGTCGCGTTTGCTCTTCCGCATTGTTAGTGAGGAGAAAAGCAGAATTAAGAGAAGCCTTTGGCTTGAGATACAGCCTGGTGACAGACGGACAGACAGACATCGAAGTATTGGTAATAGGGTCCCGTTTTACCCTTTGGGTACGGAACCCTAAAAAAGAACTCTACTTCTACTACTTGCTCCTACCCTTATGCTACAAAGTTGGGGTCAAGTCTTGACTGGTATTGCTAGATTTCTTACATCCTTAGCAACAAGCATCCAGATCCGAACCAATTATCTATGGTCACAAATAGCCTACGACTTACAAAGAAACTGCGTATTTAGTCCGGTTGGGTCTCGTGCACGAATTCCGATTCTATTTCTCCTGCATTTCTCTTAGCCCCTTCGATTATTATTCTCGGAGAATAATAAAAATCAAAAAGGCCTATGGAGCATAGCAGAATGATTCCAATTCGGGATGGTACATTCAGTTTATGGGTATATAAGCTTATGTCTTAATAATGGGTACTCGATAACGCACCTTGCGCGGGCGTGGCCTCACAGCCTACCGCCTTCGATTTATCTGCCGTTGTATTCGATTGTGTCGAGGCGCGTCCACATATTATTGTTACTATAATAGTTTTGTTCTAGTTAGTAATAGAGCCAAGAAACGAATGATGTTGATAAAATTATTCCTAGAATTTAATATAGACGATTTAAAAAAGAAAAACTGCAAATTAATACACAAATAATAAATAAAAGGAAACGATTCTATAAGGTAACATTAAACCGTGTCTGCCACACGTTGTACAGGAACTCATTTGCACCCTATTCACTTCGGTCACTTGAGAGTCTGCCGTGCTCATCCTTTGTCGCTCCTGTTTTACTACCCTCGTTTTCTTCGCCTTCGCTTGCCGATGCCGGTGCGGAGGGCTCCTCCTCCCCCTCAGCTACGTGGTGGGCGCGCTCATGACGCACGGAGCCTTGCCAGTGCCGCACGCCGGAGCCAGTGCCTCTGCCGTGCGCTGAACCGCGAATGCCAGTTGATCCCGTACTCGAGGTCCACACGCGCCTGTTGTTACTTTTATTTTGATGTCTCTCACCGAGCGAGCACACCCGTTTTAAATGTCCAATTTTGCCACAAATATCACATTTGTAGTTACGATACGGACATTGACGCCAAATATGGCGGGAACTGCCACACCACAGATTCCTTGCTTTTATTACAAATTCACGAATAACTTCAATGAGCATATTGAAAGATGAATCTAGAATGATTTGCTTCGAAAATTTTTGTATATATGTATACAAAACAGTTTTAAAGGAAAATATCATAGAGTATGAAAGCGCCTTTACTAACCGGCAGATTGAAGCTGCCCACTAAGCTTTATACATTTACGGAGCGGAGCGACTCGAGTCATTATTGTTTATAAATTTATATAGGGAGCGGGTTACTGGAATAACTCGTTAGTGGTATACCAGCGTTCGGGGCTAAATGAGATCCGGTACGCGGACATTATTTACTGTCTCTGTCTAACTTGTTCAGTTTAAATGACGTGAACTTGCCGGCTTATGTTAAGTACAGCGCATCGAGGAATGACAACTGATTTGGACAAATAAAACCTTTTTGCCGTTTAGGGGACGTTATATATTAAATAGGCAAAAGATTTCTATAGGCAATTTAAAGATCAAGTAAGCTTGGTCAATTAAAAAGATAAAATTAACAAAAACATCCAACTATACCGTCGGGGGACAAAATATCGATTTCTTACTGGAGTTAATCCTGTAGGCGGAGAACTATAAATAAAAATATTAAGATAAAAAAAAAGGATACATGAATAAATTTGTCTTCGTCGTTTACTCTGCAATAAGAACTGTTATCTCACAAACGATATGACTTTTAATGATAATTTAATTTTACCCGCAAGCACAAGCGTACCTACAAAAGTTTCAATCCAACAGTTGTGGCATTGTGGGCGGTTGATATCACTTACACTAACACGAACCACTTCTCCCATTAAAAAGAAAATATCAGGTCTCTCCTACCCGTTAGCACTAAAGAATCCGAATAAGGAACCAATGGGCCATCCATTCGCGCAATTCAACGATTTATCACCTCGCCGCGTGACTGGCGAGTGCAGTTATAAACTGTGACAACTATAATTGATTGTGATTAAAGTTAACAGCCGTTTGACTAATAATTTTCCACAGCAATGCATCACGCGCTTAATGATTCGAGGTGTCTATCTCTAAGGGTATTTCTAACATTATAACATAAAAATCAACCAGTATCAAACAAATGTTTAAAATAATTGGAAAACACAACATTTATTCAGTAGAGAAACAAAGAACATTCAGTAGAGAAACAAGAACATATTATTAAAATTCATGAGTGAGAAGGCGTTTGTATGTTTATCTAAGAAACTTTTACTTATTGCAGCTATTTTATTTTTCTGTCTACTCCTCTGAGATTTATGACGACAGAACATGTTTTTTTCTGGCCATTATTACCATGACAGTTGACAAATATCAATTGAAATAAGGTGACATCGTATATTTAGTTACATCACCCAAAAAAGCTTAAACATGCAGCTTATGAAATAGAATAACTGTAATAGACTAAGTTTTAGGTTTAGATAATCATTTTCTTTAGGAAACTTTAACTAACTTATTCGCAAATATTCCCTGACTAAAAATACAAGAGTATTAAATTTTCTTCATTAAAGATCTATATTATAAAAACCTATTACGCTCTAAAACCTAAATGAATATTTGCTATTATTTTTAAGAGAACGAAGTATACAGGTGTTAAGTGATAACCACCGCCAATAATATAACACCTATAGTGTTTCCAACTTTTCAAAGAATGACCCGGCTACCCCACTCATGAAACGTCAAAGTAAAATAACTTAACAGTCAGTAATAACAGTCTTTACGCCGGGTTATTATTTATTTGGCTATTAAAATGTAAACTTCATAACGACTCCTTTCTTAAAAATACTCCTTTTCATTTATATCTACTTCATTGATTATTTAGATGAACATAACCTATTTATTTTTCAACTTACTAAGGGATGTACGGCTAGAAATCAATTTCGAAGTTGCACAGGCGTATGATAAGTTTGTTTGAGCGATTGCACTGCATCAACGACCCTCGGCGACATCAAAGGCTTGCTGTTTCGCGCCCTTTTAGGGTCGCGCTCAATATGGCAGTGCAGTGACGCGCCGCTAGTGCGGTGACATTTTAAGCCATAAAAATCGAAAGAAAAGAAGTTTTTTTTTGGTTATAAATCGGCTACTGCTAGATTATTATATCTGCTTATACAGTCATAGGCAATGAATGTTTTAATAACGATGACTCATGTCTATAACTACTACGCGGCTTTTGAAAATTGTTTCACATTTCATCATTATTTGACATATAAGTGAATGTGACATATGATATAAAACGTATGGTACGGAAAAAGATAACATAATCAATTACAACAATTGCAGTGATTTGAATGCCTCAGTTTCAGCGCGATAGTGTCAGGTCTACCTCATATTTGTACAGAATATCAATGGTCATAGGTGGTAAATGTACTGGTGTCAACAAAGCTCATTCACTTTTGTTTTGACAACAATTAAAACATTCCTTTAAGATGTCCTTATGTATTACACCATTCACATACATACAGCTATATTTTATTCATAAACCAGAATATTTGTTCCACATTTCAACCCAAGTAAATTGAGAAAGTAATTTTAGGAGTCACTATTTTGCCACGTAACATTTAACTCTATCCATAAATTTACATAATAATAATCCACGTATTGTCTTTCAGATAACATAATATAAACTCGAATACGCAATAAATTTCGATAAAATGATGGAAAATTAATATAATAAAAAATCGTAAGTTCATTGTGTCTATAAGAATATTAAATATAAGAAAAAGCTTTTTTTATATGCAGAAATTCATCGTACCGATAAATCTAAATGTAATATCGATAAATCACTGGTATAACGGCCGCGTACCGCACCTATTAAAGCGCGAATGCATTCTGATAGAAATTTGTTTTTAATCGACATTAAATTGGGCGCGGAATTAGTTCGGACCCTCGCGGGTCGCTGTATGGCTACAGACAGCTTCATTTAAATGGTAAATTAATAACAACCAGCTTTCATCTTTGCCGGATGACTCTGGCCGCTTCTTAATGACAAATTAAAAAATAAATGCAACGCGATCACAACATTCTATTTTCAAATAATACATGCTCTTATTACTAAATGCTTGCGTTTAATTTATGAGTATGGAAAATGAATAGATAAAAATACTACTATGAGTAATTAACACCATAGTTTTCTCAAGTGATATAATCATCACTTGAGAAAACTCACGTGTTACTTATTAGTATTGTAGTTTAACGTCTTCGGATGTCTTCATACAGACAAAGTCATCAACAGACAAATTCAGCTATCAACATTTTTCAAAAGCATGGGTTAAAAAAAAGATGTCGTATTATATTTTTAATCTATTTATTTATTTCGACATTTTTAAAATGAAATACATACATTAGTTTTTGAAGTTATACTTTATTTTTGTGCGTTTAAAAAAATATTTACGATGCGCGCACATAGACAGCCAAAAGGCAACATGATGAATTTGATTGCAAAGCGACCAGTTTCGATCAACTTCACGGTAGTACCATAGCATAACAACTTTTTGGCATTTACCTACACTTCAAAGTTATTTATTTATATCGTTATCCATTGCATTTAATGTATTTTTTACAAAATAAAAAGAGTACTCACAAGGAATAATTTTTAGTTATTTTTCTTTTACCTATGGCTGCTTATGTGCGTACATAATGTTGGCACTTTTGACGTTGACACTAAAGAAAGTCATTCAGTACAGTATACGTGATAGTGCCGCCTAATCGGTATCTAGAGTGGTGTTTCATTAGTGATATTAAAGTGGTGAAATATGTAATTATACCAGTGTTATTGTTGTGCAAAGTAAAACTACGATGATTTGGTAAAAGTATTTATATTTCTACCTTCTTAGCTCGATAAAACAAGTATAGCTAACAATAAGTACAACATAATTTTATTCAGATTATTCTTTGTTGGATTATTCATGCAATTGCTTGTTTTATCGAAATAAGATCGTTAGAACTCAATCTATATATTACGTTCGAATGATCTTATTTCGATATCCACGCTCTAATTCGAGAGCATAATATAACAATGAATTCTCCACTTTGATTTTCTGTGACGAGCGACATTTGTTCAAATTGCTAATGTTTTACGTATAAGTTGGGGACCCGCGTCGGAATATCAATTTAGCATCTTAAGCAGTTGTTACAAGGTTCAAAATGGAATATAAAGAGGTGAATTCGTTGATTGAAGGGTTTTTTACGTCTCGTTTTGTGGTTAATAAGCCGTGTAAATGAGTTCTTTATCGCAGCGCGTTTCAAATGCTTTGTTTGTGTAGTTACGAATGGGGCAAAAGGGTGAATAAATTAAACAAACACTCAATTATTTCGATGCTGGAAAGCGATCAACCGAAACTAATTACCGGATGGTCCTTTTTATGAGCAGCGTGATAAAAAAACAAATAAAGTCTAAGTTGATCCCAGATTCGTCTGCGTGGATAGAAATGTATGCCAAGGGAAGCTTTCCTGGATTATGTTTTTTCCGTTGAATTAAAGAAGAAAAAAAGTCGCAATAGCTCACTGTCTAGTCACTTTTAATTCAATAGTACCTGGAGGTTTTTTTTTTTGGCTAAATCGTGTATTTTGGAAATTACATTTAGATACAAATTACTGAGTAATGAAATATGCATAATATTTTTCGATCTTACCGACCTAATAATAAGAAATATGAAGTGGTGTTTTTCACAAAAGAAACAACTTTAAAAAAAAGGGAAAAAAATAACAGAATTATCTAGATCAACAAAAAATAAAAAATAAAATAAGCAATGATCTGGAATCGAAAAAAAGTAAAAAAGAGAGTGTAAATGATCGTGACACGAACCACGACCGTTTGTTTTGGGGGCGCCCGATTACCGACCGAGCTATTATAACATTTTTGCGGCGAAATTGAACATCATATTCGAATGATATTTTTCATTCCCTGAAAACAGGGATAAAACGAAATTTTCTAAAAATGAAACCTATACCGATAGATCGATTTTTCGCAGTGGCGCAATAAAATTAGCCAAAAAAATATTGCCAAGTCGCGTGTCGCTTGGTAACTTTGCCGTACACAGCAATGGGATATGTATAGGCTGTTACTAATTTAAAATCAACAAAACTTTCCTCATAAAAAATCATTTCGTAAAAAGCTGCTAAAAACCAAGGGTGACGTTAGATAAAGGCAGGACCTAATCCAGATCTAGTGTTTAATAAAGGCCAGCTGTAATACCCTCGCTAAGACGTCAGCGCTCTCGCATTCTTCATTTGTCAAATTCAAATAGTTTTCTCTGCGGTATCGCCCCTTTATTACAACTGTGGACATATTAATATTCTTTTCTTTCTAATATTTCGAAAGAATGCGGCAATATTTTGTTGACGTTCTAAATTAAAATCTTAAAATGTACGCTCTGGCGTCTAGGAAAATATCGATATTGTTTCTATTTATGATTTTTACATATGGTAATGTTTGATGTTCTTTGATGAAAATAACATTGTAGCCTAGAAAGTTGAGTTTAATTGAGGCAAGAGTTAATTTACCGTATGCTTTCACGTTCAAATGAGTGAGTTTAGCTACAGCATTAGGCATCAATTTTATGAATAAAAATTTACTCATCTTCTTTTTTATGTCGCACATTCGCGGACTTCTTGCTCATAACGATACGGACTCGATAATGAACACGTTCATCATGAAATATCGCGTCTGTAGAGCGATCTTTGCGCGGTTACCGAAGTGGCAGATCGGCGTCCATCGCCCGAAGCCATCACGACGCGGCGGGGCCTTCTACGCCTGCTTTGTTCTCGAATCTCCCTCAACCGCCACGCAGGTGCACCACAATAGTCCAATCATGATACCGTCGGGCCACATGCTCGGCTAACAAGAAACAACAATGATCGAACTGCCACACGGGAAAAAGATGGCGTCAGTGAAAATGGCGCGAAAAGGTATGACGTTTCAATTTAGTGATGTATGACTTTCTATGTTCGGTTTGCAGTAGTATGGTTTATTGGAGTTCAAACTGGTAATAACTTCTCAAAGTTTAGAGAGAAAAGTCTTTTAATTCGGTAAAATTTTTGTTGATACAGATACGATTTGTATAAAGTCCTACAGGGTGCAAGAATCACAGAACGTTATCTTTACTGCGGTCGAACTAACTTCAACACGCTTTTTTAACAATAACTTATGAATAACTACGAAATTTAAGTATCCTTTTTATAGTGAAGAAACTATGGTAGAGCCACGCAGCATTTTTAGTTACTGCATAAATGTAAAGGTTCATTTTGAAATAAACTTCTAAGAATTGAATATTGTTTATTTCACTCCCCAAATGAAAATCAAAAGTCTACTTAAACTTTAAGGTTATCTGTGAGGCCCTCGTATTTCCCCGGAAAAGACTGCCCATTTTTATGGAAGAGTTATTGTCATTAATATTTTTGCGTGGGAGAAGTAGCCGGATGCCTTTATATCCTAAGGATTGCAGTGCACCTGTCACCCCAATCATGTTGTAGACCTCATGGATCGTGATGATTTTTTATGATTGCTTACTCATTTGCCGCCTACAAGACAAGAAAGACATGTGTTTTTTCTCCCATAGAGAAAAGTTTATATATATGATTTTTTTTTATTTCATAATTTCACTATGTCCGTAATACCGCTTTGAGATGGGGTTTTATAAAGTAAGAGCTGCAAATCGTTACGTAATTTTTTTTTATTAGCCAATTGACGACAAATAAAACAACATATATTATTGTTTTTTTATCGTTCACCACAGTGCGACGTTTTTTTAAAATATGTTTTAATAATGTTGTTTCTAATTATCATTTGGGTAATAAAATACATTACTAGTTGTTTTTAATTTTTTTATATAAAATTTTCATCATGGAAAGGCGGAATACGGGAATGTGTCAAATCTTCAAAGGCGACAGGCATAATTGTTTATGTATTTCTGTGTTTGTAAAAATCAGTTCGTAGATTATATGACGATATGAAATATTCTTCGGTGTAAGGAACTATTTGTGAGCAATGTCAATCAAATTGTAGAACGGTTCATAAAATTGGCATACCATATGAAACTTGAATTGTGAACATTCAATAATACGAAACCAGAGCGTACATTAAGATGTTTCCGATTTTCAATGATTTATTTTTGCCAGAAATTATTAAGTTTTTGCATCTGAGACATTAAGTCCCAATTGCGAAGTAGTAGTAGTTTTCCTATAAACAATGGAGCTTGGTTTACCAGAGCTATGTAATACATGTCAGTATTGAATACATTTCTTTAACTAATTGTAGTATACCATCCATACCTCAAATTAAATTTCTTCAGTCACCCAATGAAGTTGAGGTTAACTGAGAGTTGACTCACGTCAAACTCATGTTTAATTTATTATAGCTTTCAGTCGATTCAACTCGGTTATCTTTGACGGGTGTGGTTTTTAAAATCGTCCGTGTAAATAATGTACCAACGCACCGGCGCGCGGCGTTCAAAATGCCCTCGTAACCGCCAAGCAGAGCCAAGTGCGCCGGCTAATAGCGGAATAGTATGCGAGTGGCAAAACGTAAGCCGCACGCGCCTCGGGCCGTCACGATAAATGACCCGGCCCTCGCCGCCCATAGACCATTTCACCGGCCCGCGCTCTCCGAAAGACTCCATTTTGTTCTTTTTATGTTTTTATTTCCTTTATTTTTTTTTTGCGTCGCGTTCGTTTTTCAAAAAACGACGCGACGAACACGCGTTGTTGCTTTTTAAAAGAGTAAAACGTTGATCCTCGGATGCGGCCTGCGATGATATGGTTTTAAAAATTTATACGTCCGTACTTTATGTTTTGTGCGCTTTGTTTTGTCAGAATCATCGCTTTTAATTTTAAGCAAGAAGCAAGAAGTTGTTCCTTCTGTATTAAGTAACTATAACGGTAATATTTATAACAAAATTTGACACAAAAATGTTAAAATAATTTTCATTGGTTACTTATTACGAACATTATTTTAAGTTCTATGTGAACACCTCATATTGACGTGTAAACATTAAACTATTCAAAGTTTTCAAGACGAACGTAAAGTAATTTGAAAACTACTATCATCTAGATTTTTTTCTTACATTTAAATTAATAAATAATATATCAGCCGATATGACGCGCTAGTATACTCAGAAATTTATTTAAATTCTACCATATCGGATCTAAACATTAACAAACAAAATACAAAGAGATTATCGCTGTCGTAAGCCCACCAAAAAAATGGAAACATCACAGAGACCCTCACAGTCTACGTGGACCCCTAAATTACGCGTCGGCCATCTATAATTACGGAACCCTATCGCGTTTTTTATCGCATACGTCCCCGCTCTATATCGGTCACAAATCTAATATGGCTAATGACGGGATTCGATGCGGATCTGTGGAGCGTCTATTACTTTTGGTAACATCCCTCGTGGTATACAGCACGATTTATTCTTTTGTGTTTCGCTTGTTGATTTTCGCTATTTATAACCGGTCTTAAATTCTGATTGACATTTGATTTAGTGTCGACCACTACCACTTCTGAGTTGCATGAATCTAATATATACATTTTTGTGACGGTTTCATTCAAATAATTTATTCACCAAGAAGAAACAAAAAATAATTGGTTGTAGCCAATTAATTAGTTCTTATCTAAGTAAAAACGTTTCGTAAAGATCTAGAGGCATCCACATTTGGGAGAACAAACCAATTTGTTAATTCTGATGTCACTTTAATTTCTTTAAGACCGGCAACGCTTTTACGGTTTGTCTATGAGTTTATTTAGTAAACTGCCGGTTTGGTATATTTTCTGTAATAAAAAAATAAGCAGTTAGGGGGACTGCCGACAGAATGGAGAACTTAAAACTGGAATAACTGTAATTTTTAATTTTTAAATGAACTATAGCATGGATAAATAAAATCATAAAACTCTTATTTAAATTGCAAAAGACCTGATTATAAACCAAGAATCAATAATTTCGAATCATATTTGAATTTATAGTATTTCACTTTTAAAATTGGCAAACTACAAGAAATTTGTTTTACGGAGATTATACATTTAGAAAACCAAATGATATTAAAACATTAACGACAACAACGACAATGGCATAACACGGCATTTCGGTAACGCGAGCCAATGAATTTTCCCCATCCAAAATTGCCCAACGTAATTGCCAATTCTCTCTAGAACTTTTCTCTTCAAAAAAAGTAAGGAAATGTTTTCCGAACAACTCATTCATCAATCAGAGGCGGATCAATAAACTAATTACGTCAATAAGGCACGGGAGCGCGTTGGGAGCGGACGCGCCGCGGGAGACCGTTGAGGCGGCGTTGTCATTCGCGCCACGACGCCATTGTCTTTACGCTCACCTTTTTCAAAGCGCGGCGGGGGGGCAAAGGATTGCGTGTCACGGTGCCATTGTGTTAAACCATATTGTTTACACATTTTATTATTTCAAAGCTCAGCATAGCTCCTTCGTGTTATGATAGAACTGAATTTAAAATTATTACAAAGTTTTTAGTTTTAGCGTAGTCTCTGGTAAAACAGTTTTGATCAGCTTCTTAAGCGCATATTTACATTGATTTGACATTAAAAACAAATAAAATCTTGAATGTCTTGAAGTCTAGAATATCTGTAGTACTATGCTTACTTAAAATTTTTTTTTGTCTGGTTGGCACAGGCAAGGGAGGCCTTTTCTCACTCTACTCTCTCTAATGCTACGGTGGGCCAATTCGCTGAACAAGTCGGGCGTATGTCACTTGATCAGTGATTAAACATCACAAATCAGTCACTGAATGGCTTCAGAATGATTCTGACGAATTCTTCGGACTCCTCCGTGTCAGGCTCACAAGGAGATAGCGGGAACTGATCAAGACTTCAAATAAATTATTCTGCACTCCAATTTTATTTATTTTTGAGGATGATATTTTTCTAGTTATCTGTCATATTTTAGCAGGAAAAATTATAACTATCATTAGTTCTCAAATAGAATAAATACTACAAGATAGTACTGTGTAGAAGTAATGATTTCTTTCACGTATCTAATTATGTCTGCCTAGAAATCTGACTAATAATTTCATAGCAGTCAACGGAGAAAACAACATATCTGAAATTAAAATTAATTAATATACTTTGTTATAACTTTTTGATTCGTGTTCAATATTAACAACGGAAAAGTACCTTAGGTATATATATCTAATTATAGTCAATCTAATTAAATTATAACTCGGGAGGGCTGTAAGAATAGGTTGATACAAGCAAAACAAATAATTATCTAAACAAGATCCCATCCGAGTTAATGCACGAGGACCTGTCAAAATTAATAAAGTAGTGGTATCGAGTGTTGCCGCGTGGCGGACAACGCGCCCGCTTTTTTACCCCTGCCCACCCCTAATGGGCGACGCGTGGCTACCCAAGAGCACATTGTATAACCACCCTAGCGCGTAGGCGGTATACACCTATGCATTTCGAGAAGTGAGCGCAATTTTAATTATGTTATTTGGCGGGAGTAGTGGAAAAACGGCCATTACCATCAACGGCTGCATTGCCACTTACCATCAGGTGGGATGGCCGTCAGTGCAGGCCAGTTCTGAATTAAAAAAAAAAAACGAGCACGCTGTTCACCTGATGTTATCGTCGCAAATGGACATCAAAAACACCCAGGTTGCAGTTCCATTGGCAGACTTTAAGAAGTTTTTGTCCTGTGGCAGGGCTAAGCAGCTGCTTCGGCTGTGGCACGAATGGGTTGGCTCGTCCGGGGATGTACCACGGCCTCATAGAAGACCGGCGTGAGGTGGAAGTTTTATTTTTTGGCGTTTCGTCTGGTGAGTGATGTAACCGGGGCTCACTTCTTTTTAATGGCAACGCATCTGCAAC